TTTTTATTTTAGCTTTTACTATATATTATAAAATGTGCTTTTAAAAGTTCTTTTCTAATTGTAAACAATTCTAAGTAGGTCACTTTTGGTCGAAAAATGTGAAAGCTCTGCCTCMATTAAGTTAAAAGCYCACAAAAAGCTCTTTGAACTAAAGCTTTTACTATACATTTTGTTTGCTCTCAAAATTAGGCACGATTCTCAATAAATGTTTTTTCGTCGAAAAATGTGAAAGCTCTGCCTCAATTAAGTTAAAAGCTCACTAAAAGYTCTTTGAACTAAAGTTTTTATTATAAATTTTGTTTGCTCTCAAATTACATGCTATAAAGAAAATTTATCATACCATTTTTTTAAGTATGTTCCAAATAGTTTCACAATACAATATTCTATCTGTTTCACRAAAGCTTTCTCTGTGAGAAATTTGCTGCGCGCGGAAAAGCATGTTATAAAGTCCAAATTTTCATCATAATAAATTCAGAAAATTCAGTTRCGGTCTAGATTAAGTCGAGAACAAGTAAAGCAATATGTGAAGTCCCAAAGCAAAATGCCATGCATTTCATAGAAATTGAAAGCTTTATGTAATAATAAAAACTAATTAATAATTAATTACTGATGTCGCTTTCAAAATAGTAGCATTGCATATGCTATGAATAATGGTGAATTCTTGCTAAATATATCTATAAGTATGTGTTAAGTATGATTGTACAGAGMGCCATGCAAAAACCGCCGAGAATCGCAAGGAGTAGCAAGGGAAAATAAATTTTCTGAGTCATGCAATATTTCCACCATAAACCACAAACATATATTTTGACATATGTAAGCCATGTTGAAGTTAGTTTACTTCCTTTTTTGAGGGGAAGTCCCATAATTTATATATTATATGTCATAGAAAAAAAAAATACTTTTTTGTATACATTCGCTTTATGTAGTTGGTATTTAAAGCACTGACCACATAAACAAAATGTTATATGAGTGCTTATCATAAATAAATATACAGAAAAATGCGGTGGGACAACAAAATCGACATGTAACTAGAATTCGCTGATGAAAATCGAAGTGAAAGAAATTGCGTAAATGAACATACTTCATAACATTTTTATGTATAAATGCACCACAAATTAATATTTTTTGTAAATAGAAAGACGTTAAGCTGCAGAAATGTCAAATTACAATTTTTTGTGAGAAAGAAATTGAAACGCACAATTTCGTAGCTTTTTTGAACTGGCTTGAWACAAGTGTATTTCGGTTTAGTTGCTGAACAACTGTTGGCTAATTTATGAAACATTCTTAAAAATAGTTAATTATATGTAACTTTCTGGTCTAGTTTGTAACTAGTACATTTCGGWCCAGTTGTTGAAATCGCTAAAATCAACCAATACTGACTAAGAGTTATATGTCAATTTTTGATCTAGCATTGATTGGCAACTAGTAMTTTTCGGACCAGTTGTTTTGAATCAGCTCTTCCTAGCTAATTTGTCAAAAAWTTTTATTTTTTTGATACAACGCCTTGATTATTCGAATTTGTTGTTCTTCCTAGCATAAAATGATACCACTGCTAGCGGTCTTCCCTTTAAAAACATATACATAATTGTTGTTTTTACTTAATAAATAAAAATATTAGTCTCACACGTCATTTAGTGCAACGTACTTTTATCCTTTGCGTATATATTATTGTTATAATTTTTAGCTGGATCCACTGCTGCGCCGTTAGTTGACCCTGTGTGCTTCAGCGCATTATTATTTTTTAAAACAAGCATATTTTTAGCTGCCGAATTTTTGAATAAATTCACTTTTGGCTCCAAAGTGCAAACAATAGACATTTTAATTAATTTTTCTTCGTACACTTGCACTTGCTCTTGTTKTTATTTTGCTTTGTTAATGTTTTTTGTTGATTTGTTGCTTATTTATTATTATTATTGTATCATTTTTTTATTTAAAAAAAATTAGTACACATATCTTAAAATCTTTTTAAATTGTGTGCATATTATTATTTAGTTGTTTTTTTGTTGCATTTTTTATTTATTGTTTTTTTTTTTTTTAATTAATATTTAATTGTCTTTTAATTTCTGTTAACTTCTAATGCAGTCACTTCATTTTCATTAATTCTTTTAAGTATACAGTTCTGCACAGCATAACTTTTGTTGTATATATTATCTTGTTGTTGTAATATTTGCGTAATGCAAATAATATTTTTTTTATGGTTAATTATTTAAAGTACTCGTACTAAATAATTTTTTTGTTATAATTTCCAAACACAATGTAGCGCGCAACGCAATCCGTTATCTGTGCATATATCCCGTATTTCGTGTGAGCCAAGTACGAAGGTAAATGTAAATAAGTAGCCGAAAAATTCACTGCGCGCCCATTGTGCCGCTGGCGTGACTGGATTTGGAAATTCTTGCCACCACACTTAGCACTTTTTACTGCGTTCCATTTATGAATTCAACAGCGTTTTTGGTAAGAATCTTGTTGGTTTTGTTGTTTTGGTGAGAATATTGCATTAGCGGAGCAGCAAATCGCACAACCGTTAAGCACGACTGTTAAAACACAATTGAAATAGAAAAGCTTTCACAAGTAAACCTCTTTCACTGCTCGTTAAAGGCAAATAGCAAGCGCAGCCACACATCGGCTCAGTCGGCGGCTGCTGGCTGTGGCTATGGCTGTTGCTACTCCCCTTGTTGCTATTGCTGTTGTGCCGTTTGTGCTGTTTGTGTTGGCTAATGGCCATAGCGCGCATGATTCTCTGTATTTTGCCGTTGTAAATGCGGTCACGTTGCAGCAACATACGTTTAGTTGGTCGCGTTTCGAACATGTTGCAACCCACATTTTTCATAATAAAACTGGTATTGACAGCTGTGTCAAACCGCCACCACGGCGCTGCCCACTCTCACCTGAATAAATAGCATCTAAGCGCTGGCTTCATTACAACACAAGCAACAACAACAGCACCAGCACACATACACAGACATAGCGCTGTTGTTGCGCTACAAGTTTTCCTGTGCGCTTGTAGTTGTTGCTTAACGGTGCTTATTACTTACCGGGCTAAGTTGGTGTGGGTAAAAGTGAAATTTCTTTTAAGCTGCGCTTCAGAACATGTTGCGCGCTGCGCCAGCAAACGCTTCGCACACTTCTATACGAGCGCGCGTTCGTTCGTTTGTTAACTAAGCGCACCGTCGTCGTCGGCACGTCTGTCCGTTCCGTTCGTACGTCCGTCCGTCTGTCGCAGCGCCAGCGACGAGTAGATCACATTGCACATTTCCATTTGTATTGAGTAATCATGTAATCTAAAGTGCATACGCTGGCGTGTAGTGGTTGGTGGTGGAGCTTGGGGTGTGTTGTACGCCATACATGCTGGACTCCGACCATGGCGCTGGCATAGTCACGCGTCAGGGCCGCACTCTCACTCCGCATGGGTCCATTGCTTAATCGAGGCTGCGCGACGGCAGCGCGCGTACGTACGTACTCGTATTGTTAGTTCGTTTCCTTCGCGTATGCGCCGTCGCACACCGTTAGCGTGTAAGAACGTTGAAAGCAACTCCAGCAGCGTGGCGTAACTAATTACATGTAGCACAAATATATATATGTATGTAAGTATGCATTTATGTACATTCTTACACATGTTGGCGCTAAAACGTGATTTGTGAATTTTGTTTTTGTAATCGTTGACGCTGCCGCTGGCGCTGTTAGCTTGGTGGTTTTTTTTTCTTATAACTTTTTAGCATTGCGTTAATTGGCGTACAGCTAATATAATTTAGTATTATCCAACGAAAAGTTGCGGAGCTAAGGTTAATCAAGAATTGCTGCCTAYAAAACGGTTAATGAGCAGCATAAGGCGGCGCGCATAGCACAGTGAGTAGAGCATAGAATTTCGACTTTCTAAAAAATGTGTTATGCTACATGAAGACATATAGATAAATACATACATATTTACATACAGAAAAGTATATATACATACATAAGTACTTATATTCTTTATACAAAATACTCCCATATCAGCACAAGCACAATTAGAAGTACAAGCTAAATGCGCTCTTCTATGCGATCTTTAGCTCCAAGCCCAGTCAAAGTGTATGCACGTCAGTAGGGCATAATGTGATAATGCTATGCTAACGGTTCTCCAAAAGTATTGCCCTACTTTTAAGACAGCAAATAGTGGGTTAMAAAAAAGTGTGGCTCAGTAAATGATAATATTCCACTTCAGCGTYGACATTTTCTTGACTCCGCGCCTTTCTGGCATGGCAGAAAATAGTGTTGGCGCTTTCTAATAATATTTTCAACCGTTTTTTGTTAAGCGCTCAACAAAGCGCTTAAAACATGGAGATAGAACTTTTTTTTTATTTCTYTGGCTTAAATTGTATTAGTGGGTCAGGTGTGAATGTGGTTGATGATTTTGTGGCACACATTTTTGTACGGACATTAGTTTTAATGAACATTGGCTTACATTTAAAAAATAATAAAAAAAAAATTATT